TGAATTCTGTAACTGTTTAATTTGTATCTGTTTAGAATGATTACTGTGTCTACTCCTTGAGGGGTAAGTTTGGGGTAGTAAACAGTGAAAATTAGAGGGCAAAATTGTAACTTCTCAGTCTTTATCCTTGGTCCTCACATGGACCGAGTTCACATATGCTAAGGTACACACTAGGGACCTTAAAACCTACCATCATCAAGTAACAGAATTGACACATTCAGTGAATTGACCAGTTCCAAAAATGGAATTGAATGGCAGGAAATTTTGGAAACAGTTATGATCTTAAGAATATAAGCTTGCCTCGGCTTGTGTGGCTCAGTGGTTAAATGTTGAACTATAAACCAGGGGGTTACGGTTTGATTCCCAGTCAGGGAATATGCCTGGGTTATGGGTTCCCCAGTGTGGGGCATGCAGGAAGCAGCCGATCAATGATTCTCTCTCGTCATTGATGTTTCTATCTTTCTCTCCCTTTCCCTTCCTCTCTGAAATTAATTTTAAAGAATATAATCTTAGCATAATAGATAGTAAGATGTTCTAGATTTAAATAGTATTATATAATTCAAGTTTTGTTGTTAGTAATATGGGTACCAATTAATATCTAATAGAGCCAAATGTCTGGAATTTGAGTGATTGCTGTTGCGTATCCTATATAATGAAACCTAATATGCAAATTGTCCCCTCAAACGGGAGTTCGATTGCTCGCTATGATGTGTGCTAACCACCAGGGGGCAGCGTGAAACATGGCAGGCGTAGGCAACACAGCGCTGGCAACGGGCCCCGATGAAAGCGGGATCATGGCGGGATGGTGGAGCAGGTGAGCGGGTGGTGCCACACCAAGGTGGGTGTGACCAGTGGTGGGGGGTAGGGCTGCCGCCTGGCTCCCAGACACTAAGGGAGCTGGGCGTGGGCCTGGCGACTCAGGTGGAGGGGGGTGCACAGGGGCCTTGCAGCCCAGGTGCTGCCCAGGGTCCAGAGGTCAGCTGGGACCTGCCCTTCCACACCAGTTGCTTGCGCTTCCATAGCTGGCCAGGCCTAGGGACCGCACCTGTGCATGAACTTCATGGACTGGGCCTCTAGGTAACTATAATACAGCGTTCCTCGAATGTCTGTGATGTGTTTAGAACTACATTGGCTTTAGCTATAAAATTTGTAATGCTAGCTATTTATCCTTTTATAGTCTAACTAGGGGCCCAGTGCACAAATTCGTGCACCTTGAAAGGAACTGTGAGCCGCAAGGCTGCCGTGGGCACAGGGGCAGGTCTCGGCCCATCCTCTGCGCCCCAACCAGCCCCCCCCACCACGACCCTGGTCTCCTGTCTTCCGGCAAACCTGCTCCCACCGCCACCACTCCCACACGCTGACAGAGCCGGCCCCACTTGCACCCACTGGTGGTGCGGAGCAATTGGGGCCGGTACCAGCAGCAGGTGCACTGCTGCCCCGATCGCCCCTCAGGAACAGGGGGAGATAGAGAAGCTCTCAGGGGCAATTGGAGCCGGCAACCACCACTCACACCCGCTGATGGCGCTAAGTGACCAGGGCTGGCGCCGGGTGCTGGCAGTGGGTGCGAGCGGGGCCGGCACCAGCAGCAGGTGAGAGTGCCCAGTGGGACCACAGTGCGTGGGAGGAAAGAATTTTCAGTAACCTCCACAGGCTTGCCCCAATAACAG